ATCTATTCAGATATTCCAAAATATCTATTCAACTATATCCATTACCAAATAATTCCACATGTGACTATTGTTATTCTGGAACAAGTAGAGCTTATGCAATAATGTACTAGAGCATTGTCACTTTAAACTCACACTTTAAATTATATTGGAATAACTAATGTTTATCAAAATCATATAATTGGAACAGTAAAAAAGCAAAAGTTTTACTCAGTTCTACCAGTATTGTCATGCAACTGGGAGAGTGCTTTTGTAGAGTGTGTTTTGCCACATGCTCTCTTGCTTTTTTGTTTATTTTTTCTCCAGAGTTGCCGCTTTGTTCTCTCAGGGTTTGACTGAAGTCTGAGAAAAAATTCATTGGATTTCTTCATAAAGAACATCCTTGGACCTTGAATGGCATGCTAGGTTCTCAACTCTAATTTTTGTAAAAAACATATGGTTGAAAAGATAAATGTGAAAATGTGTAAATGATAGCTTGTGAGTTGTTTTGTCAAATGACATGATATTAATAATCTCTACCTTTTTCCCAGTTGACTGGAGCATATAAAAAAGAAGAAGTATAACATATATGTGAGCATTGACTCATTTTAGTGCACTGAGTAGATTTTTGGGGAATAGTATCATCCCTTTTCTTTCCAAACACTGTTTGGAAAATCCTTCATTTCCCTAATGCAAACAAACCAGAGTACACTTTCATAAAGCTTAGGGCACCCAGCAAAATATTTTTTCAATTATGCATTTTACCGATATAGCTTTTTTCACCTTTTGCCCTTTCTCTGTCACTTTGCTAAGTCAATTTGCTCTTTTGATCATATATCTTTATTTAGACTTTAAACTATGTGAGCAAAGACACTGTGCTGGTTTTATCAATCCACTCCAGCTGTGGATAACAGTAACATTTGGTCTATTGTCTTTTACTGGCTGTAAAGTGCTATGTTCAGTGTTTAATAACATACTCACTTATAAATAACATACTTCAGTCAAAAAAAAAAACCATGGAAGAGATACGCAGATGATTTTTCACAAGCATTTAATCTTTCTTTCATCCTATGTATGTAAGATGCTTTTAAAGCAGTTCTGTAATCACAAGGATAGGACGTTCCTTATTCTGCCACTGCTGGATGTGTTCATCACTTGATGCTTTCACGAGTCCCAGAGAAAGGTAAAGAATCAATCTCTGTGGTCAGTGAATTTTTTGTATGGTCACATGTTTAGGTAGTTTCTTAAAAGAATTAACCCAGGCATTCCACAGTTGCAAATGGAGGCGTCATGGTTGGGTCTGTTGCTATCATAGAGGGCAGTAAGTCATGACTGGAGTCTGCTTTGGCTCTTGTTGAGGTTAAAGAACACCGAGTACAGCAGGGCCCATCCCTCAACAATGCCCTTGGGGAGTACGGAGATGTTTGTTATATCGCTGGAGTTATTCTATGGAAAGACATTCCATGTCCTTCATTTTTTTTCACAGTTTAATAGGATTTAGACATACAGTTCTCACTGCTTTTAATGGATATTGCATGTTTAATTTCTGTGCAACTCCAGGAATTAAGAGATATGTTCCTTTAAAGTTTACTTTAATCATATCCTATTTTTTCCCTCTCAGAAAATACTATTAAAGGTATTTAAGCTGATAACCTTATACTAGTGGGGAGGAACTCTGACCTTATCTACTTTGTGGCAATGACCATGTGTGATTGGCCTCTAACCTGGTTACAAAATTATAAAATGATGTTGTGAAACCACTATTCATTTCCTAATAGTGTCTCTGAAACCAGCTTAAATTCTGAGAGGCTTGGTACTGCATTTTCTTTCTCACAGTTGTAGTGCACAGTATATAGAGTATTGATCCTACTGTAATTTTCTTACACTAAAATATGCTGAATTTCTCATTGCTAACCAATATTTGGAATGAATGATGACTGGTGAAGGATTTTGAATGAATGAATGAGTGAATAATGAGTGGATTTGCTATTTTTTGTTACATATGCATATTGTCATTATTGGAGCGATGTATGGCATTTTACAATAGATTTAAATATCCTGCACCGGCCTGCTTGAAATCTGGATCTGGATCATTAAGATATTCTTTATGCAGTCAAATTTAAGACTGAGAACTTTCAAACTGTATAATACTAACCTAAGTTTGCATTCATCTTATTTGAATTACTTAGATTGAACACCTCTCTGTCCAGTTGATGAGTACAACAAATAATTTCAAGGATGTTACTTTATGATTTTGTTATATGACTATACAGTCCCACCTTTTTTTTTTTTTTGGTTGCTAATACTGAGATCAGACAAACCTGCTTGCATATTGAAATGATCCCATGCAGTGCAGTTTCTGTTGAGGAATACATGAAGAGAAGTTGCCCCAGTAGCTGACCTGGGTTATTTAGTCAAAGATTACAGTGATGAGTCAATCTGAAGCATATACATCTGCTCAAATAGAGACCATGTTGGATTTTCATAGAGTCATTCATTCAACAAATGTGATGACTCACAACTGTGACTAGTATTCTGACTTACTTATGCATTTAGTATGAGACTCATTGGCCTCCACCTTATTTTCTTCTGTCCTGCTACTCATCTCGCATAGAAGGCTTTAAGAGATAAGGCAAAGAGATTAACTATCCAGGCACCCTTCTGATGGTAGATGCCAAATAAGAGCAGAGTTGAAAGAAGACAATAGCTGGCTCGACAGGGACTCTGGAGTCTCCCCACTTAACAACACATGGGTGAGTCATGGTGTGTACAGGTAAAACAGCCCCACCACAATCCTTCTGCACATGCTTGGACCCTGGCCACCACTTCAGCCAAGGTAGATGAGGGCTGGAGTAAAGTGGTAGTTTGCTCTGGTTATGAAGTGAGCTGCAGTTTTGATTTCATGCTTTTGCAGGACAGTGCTTTTCCATAACTGTATTAACAGGGTGCTGGCAGAGTGATCCAAGCCTGGGGTGCTGAGTCCTACAGCTGGAGGGGAGCCACCCATACTACATCATGGCCACAGAATATAATCCTTACGGGAACGCTATACTCAAGGGAGGTCCTCCAAAACGAGAGCTCCCAAGGCACAAGCCCACACAATCATTCTCCCTGCTCCCACAAATCCAGGGACAGGATGTTTTATGTGGACATTGCTGTCCACAATGCCCATGCTGGGGCCTCATACCCAAGAGAAAGTGAGATACTGACAGAATTTCTACATTTCTTAAAAATCAGGCACTTGTAAATGTGTTTGGTTTATATAAAGCACACATGTAGAGCAGAACTAAAGGGAAAAAAAACTTAAAAGGTGATAAATCCAGTATTGCTGGCTTTGGAAGACTTAGGACAGCTGGAAAATTATTAGGATATTAGGATTGTTACCATACAGTTGCTAAGCAGTCATAGCAAGGAAGAAAATGTAAACCTTTTTGTTACCAGTACCAATTCAGCACAGCAATTGATAGAATGAAATTGTTAAAGTTTCCATAACTTGTAAATTAAGAACCAACAAGTGTTTCAGTTGTAATTTCAGTCATCCAACGTTCCCAGACAAAAAGCAAAGGCAAGAGTTTACGATTCTAAGACTACCTTCACACATGGAAGTTATACACCATGGTGTGGACGTAAAGTTGCAAAAATGCATATATCCACACAGTTTATTGTTCTGTAGGAACACTTTCTAGTGATTCAGTGTATCATTATGCATCCTAAATGTACCCATGTTTAAGGTTGAATTGGTATAAATATCTCCATCTAAAATACATTTTAGAAGTTTGCATCTGTGTTATCATAATTACAGAAAGTTGTAAAAAATTGCATGTGAACCCACATTTATAGAGACAGGAACACATCAGCATACCAGTCACTGCGTCGTCCCCCAGAAATCAGACAGTTACTTTTAACTGCAAGCCTCCTTTAGGGCAAAAAAAAAGGGTGACTTACAGCTTTGCCTAGTCCCTTATTGGATGCAATGGGTAAGACCCCGCCTTTAAAAATGCTTTCAGTTACGCTCACTACCACTGACTCATATGAGGTCCAATGAAAGAAATGCAGCTGATAATGAGAACAAGGAGAAAGTGTGCAAGAAATTTCCTTTATACCTTACCTCGGTAAGTACCCCCACTAAAGTCAGTACCAAGAAGAAAGGTTTAAAAGGTCAGATCAGGTTTAAAAATGCCCCTGCCTTCCCATCACTGCCCTGAACTGCCTTGATATTTGTTTTCTAATGTCTGTGAGTGGGTGTGTTTTGCCTCTGTGACAAAACTGAAATTCAATGAGAGAATTTCCTGCTTCGTAGGTACGTTTTTGACATGCAAGGCATATGCATGACCTCAATTCTCCATTTCTTGCCTATTGTGCAAATGAGAGTTTAGCAGCAAAAGGAATTACCACCTCAGCATTATCTAATACTTGTGCATATTGCATGCACACATGCTTGGATAAAAACGTTTAACAGCTGACACAAGTTGAAATAAAACACTTCCCCTCCACCCCAGTAATGCTTCTTTCACACAGTCTTAAAGAATCTCCTGGCAGGAGGACAATCTGATGAAAAATCAGGAGGAGAAAAGGGAAAGGTATGCCAGGAAACACAGCTCGGGTCTGTGCTGATGGTTGGATTCTCGATGAGTTCCGCAAAGAATCCTTCTTAAGGTTCACATAAAACCTGGTTACAGAGAGTGGTGACTTTCCAAATGGCTTTGCAGAAGCAAGTAGAAGCAGTGCTCCTCATCTAGTGAAGCTCAGTCCGACTATATGAATGAGGAAATGGTTCCAGAGGAGTTTTATTCACTGCCGTTAATTTATACCGGAGTGTTAGGCTGACATTGCCACCTCGGTGGGCACCAGCTCCGCGGGCTGGCCTGTCAATGGGATCTGCATGGTGTTTGGCGCTAACTGTGGGATCTGGGAAAAAACCACTTTTTGGAACTGCGTCTTTTGTGCCTAAAACATGAGCGGTTCGGTGTCTGTGCGGGACGGGGAGGCACGGCGTGTCCAGGCATCAGGGAGCGGCCCGGGATGGCGGGTGGGAGCCGGCCTGGAACCGCCTGCCCGCGCCCCCTGGCGGCCGCGGGGGCGGGCGGGGCTCTCGTGGGCCATGGCAGCGGTACGGGCGTGTTTCGTGGGCAGTGGCAGCGGAACGAGGGAAGCCCCTCACAGCCGCCCATTAGGGGTGGTCTCGTGGCGGGCGGAGCGTCCGCCCGCTCACCTGTGGAGAAGGCGGCTGGTTAAAGCTTAACCCGAGCGGGCTGAGCAGGCGTTTTAGGACAGTCGTCGCAGCTCGCCTGACTCGTCTTGCAGGGAGTGCTCAGGGTCTGGAAGCGGCCGCTGCCCGACGAGGCAGGCTCGGCGCTGCGGCTGCTGTGGAGAGTCCTCGGCCTCCTCCCCATGTCCGGCGTGTCTCCAAACGGGTCAGGAGCCTGGGCAGCGCCGGGGCTGGCAGCGGCCCCTGCACAGCAGCCGTGCCCCAGCGGCCCACCACGGAACAGGTCACCACCTGCTCGAGGGAGGCCCACAGTCCTCCCTGCCTTGTTGGCCTTTGCTGAAATTGAAGTGTCTCTTGGCTCCAAGCCATGTGAAAGCTTTGAAGCATGTGGGTTATGGGCACCGGGTTTGGCCACCCCTTTAGTCGACAGTGTAAGAAACAGCACTCGGTTCAGCACCGCAAGCTGTTCCTCCTACACCAGTCAGATCATGTCCAGCGCTCACACCGGTGTGTGGTGTATATAAAACCTCACGGAAATTAAGAGGTCCTTCTACTGAGAGTCGTAAAAGGTAATCAGTTCCAGTGGGGGTCAAACAACAAAATGCTCCTGGGAATAATTTGGACTTTGTTTCTTCAGTTAAACCAGAATGAATCTACTAGTGATTCATATTTCCATGGTGTAGAGACCTTGTGCATCTGACTATCCTTTGTTCTAAAATTAAGTCTGCCCCTTCTGTCCCTTTATTTTGTAAACCACCAATTCATAAGGATTTAGGGAAGGATAAAAGCTCCTGTAAATTATTATGGTTTCACAGTGTTAAGGAATGAAGGAGGGAACTTTCCTGAGTTTTTTTTAACACAGTCTACTCCTAAATTGTACTCTCAGATTTATCATGAGCTTTGCATGCAGACCAGACCATGAACTAGTTTAACTAGAGTTATTTTGGCATCAGTTTAGCTGCAGCTCTCTGAACTGTCAGGTGGACACACTGAGAAACAAGGTATAAACGCTACATTAGCACATTAACACAGGGGTTTAAAAGTATTTAGTTAACTAAGAGTAGAAAGGGGTCTAGATGAGACAGCACAAGTTTTGTGCATAGACTAATTTTTCCTTTTGTCTGGATTTTGCTGCATAGGAACTCTGCTTAATTCTGGATCAGATGACTGATGTAAGCATTTGCTTGTCCCACCAAAGGGAGATTTGCCTTTAAATATCTGAAATATCTGTCATAGTATGCTTTCCTCCTATAGTAGTAGTAAAGATAAAAATCCATCTCTATCAGCTGACTTACGTGCTTTTTCCTTCTACACTTAACTGCAATATATTAATTCCTTTGACAGTCAATAACTACGTGTTTCAAGAGATAATTATTTCCCCTTATATGAACATGTTCCAAAGCCTTTGCAAAAGGTCTGTGAGAGGAAAAGCTCATTAGTGTGTTTAAACTTCTAAAGAAATTAAGTGTAGAGTGTATAGTAAGATGAAAAAGTATCCAGAAGGAGGGAATGTTACCCATGTAAGTTCAATCATACTAAAATTACTCTTTCATTTATTATAAAACCTGATTATTTTTTCCTAATAGAAAAATACAAATGAGTAAGATCTGCAATTTTTCTAAAGGAATATGGACAGAACCTTTAAAGATTCAGTGGCGCTCAGTACGTCAAAACACTTGAGCAGCTGTAAGATCAGAACTCAAAGGCCGAGCAAGGATGCAGCCACCTAGGAGGCTGATTAAGGTAAAATTAAAAGTGCTTATAGGGGTTCTATTGTAGTTGTTGTTTAAATAATCCTATCTGAACTTAACCATTGTACTAAAAAAATAATCAAGTCTTGCAGGTTACTTGTGCTTATGCAACTGAAAACAAAATCTATCGGTTGAGCCAGGTCCTTGGCTCCACTCCAGTAGTTCAAAACAGGTCTAGAGCCAGCTTAACTGCCCCAGCCATAACTATTTTCACTTTTCCAGAAACAGTTCTGCCAGTCATAGACCTGCTGAGACAGCTTACACTTCCGTACTTCTGAACTTTGACTCCCAGAACATAGGCAAAGAAACAAAAGGCATGGGAAGTAGGGACCTGCTCTGCAGTGCCTCTCTGCCTCTGGAATGCTCCCCCTGGACTAGGAGCAGCTGATTAATTCTTTAAACAACAAAACAAACTCCAAGATAATTAAACAAAATGTTCACCATACCTTTTGGGTTCCCTCCCCACACTTTTTAAAAAATTTTTCATCTTTGGAGATAGGATAGAATAAGCATTGAAAAACTATTTAACTGATAGGGTTTGCTTTTCCTTGGTCTTTAGTGAATCATCCAGGGTATCATTTTAGAGTTCCTGTTGCTTGTTTTACACAAACATGCTCTCAAGCTTGTGTCTGGTGAGGAAGTAATGACAATTTGTGGAGTAATAAAAAAGGGCCAACATTTTATAATGTTGAAAACTGTTAATAATCAACATCAAAAGGTTATAATCTGTTGACAGTCATCTCCTTGATTTATACAGCTGGCTGCCCTACTGGCTCTTCTTTCAGGCTAACTGGAAGGTGCTCTGACATATGTGTCTTTATAGAGTGGTAACTCTGAAAACATACAGGTAGCAGCTATTCAAAACAATGGGTTGAACCTGAAGGCCTGAGCAAGAAGTACTCCAGGCAGTACATGCAGTTTTCCCAGGTGAATGAATTAAGAGCAAAGGCCTCCAGGAGTAAAAATACCCACCAACCCCAAAACAAAACAGAACAAAAAGACCAACACTCTGTCTAGCAGTTGCCTAGAGCAAGGGGACAGAAATTTTGGTTTTGTGTTCCTGTTGCCTAGAGTAAATGTAAAATCTTTACCCTTTTATAACTAGCAACAAATCCTGGGGGTGACTGGGTATTACTCTGTGTGAGATGGAAGAAGAAAGAAAATAAAGAAAGAGCCCTTGGGGGCATTGAACGGGCCTGAGGGCCAAGCACAGGGTTTGGGAACAAGAAATTGCTTACTACATGTTTATTTACAAAGACTTTAAAGGAAGGGACAGAGTTGATACTGCTCCTTTGTCCTCCTGATAGACATACTAATTCAAACTTTCCAATAATAACTTCTAAAGCCAGGAAGAAAATGGTATTTTTCCCTTTTATGACAATCAGATGTTTAATGGGAGGAACACTCAATGTGCATCTAAGAGATAGGTGATGGCAGTTATGAGGAGAACTTCACACCCTCAAACTAAACCTGTTTGGTTGCCAGTATAGTAAGCAGCCTGAACAGTACAGGGATAGGTTTATAGTAATTTAAAGTGTAGTAGGTAACACATAAAAAAACTTTTCTAGAGATACCATAAACTTGTACAGCTTGCTTAGCAAAATAACATGACGGCTAATGTTCTCCAAACACAGGCTTTCTAGGTTTGACTGAGAAGGGAACAGAACAAGGACACCTGAGAAAGATGCTGATTTCAGCCTGTTTAAACTGTTTCATTGATGTAAGTCCTCTGTTTCCGCAAGTACATGAAACACTGGTCCAAAGAAAGATTTTAATCCATACCCTATTTTGAAAGGTCAAGTAGCAACAGCAATGAACACATGACAGCCAAAAAAATTAAAAGGCAACACAGGTACCTGTTCGAAAGTACTCTTTTCATCATTTCAACACTCACCTTCTCCTAATTTTCTCCATCTCCTTATGACATTGGGTGAACTTTGTCTCACAAAAATATAAGAAAAAGATTATGCACCAAATTATTCAGCTGACTCCCAATTCTGACACTCTGCAAGGAAAGTGGTATGTAGATGCTATCTTTACAGGGTGAACTTTACCTTGCCTTTCACCACCCAATTTCAAATAAAATATATTTATAACATTTCTGTTAATGTTGCCCTTTTCAGCTTGTTGCATTTTTTTATATCTTTGAACTTGTTACAGTTTCCTAGAATTTATAGTTCCAGAATAATTTAGATCATTAGGAAAACTAAATTGTTAGTGTTACTTTAAGTGCATCCTTATCAATGAGAAACACAGCTCAGCGCTGAACTGTCATATCCAGCTTAACAGCAGTAGTGTACATCAAAAGTTAGCCTGCTCTATGTTATTAAAAGTTTCTGGGGGAGTAAGAAGTCACAGTTCCTTGGGATATTTATAGTATTTAAGAATACTTTTAAGTAACTTGTAATGGCAGATGCCATAGGGTACTCCGTCGTAAGTGGTTTTCCTATTCATAACAAGTAATGCATATTATGGCGCGTTTCAAGCCAGGCCCACAGTAAACTTTGTAGAAAAAAATAAATTCCATTTGGATCTTGTTAATGCCATGTTGTGTTTTGATTTTTGTTTTGAATACAGCTCTTAAGTGGAATTTTTAGCCCTGAATTTGATAGTATGTACTTCATGATGGACTTCACTGGATTACATTTAAAGCTCCAACACAAGTATCAATGGCACAAGCTGAATGGTGTTACCGTGGGGTAAAAAATTGACTTCTTACAACAGAACTAACCTCTGAATGGCTTGGGTGAGAGGCCTGCATAGTGAGTCCTGCTCTTCCAAATGCTGGCTCCTTTCTCCCTTCCACAGACTATCTCCTCCTACCTCTACTACACAGCCTCTCACAAGGAGTGCATTCTCTTCACCCAGGGTATGTAGTTGTGGATTGCTGCCCCTGCAAACATCAAGATGGCTACAGCACATCCTGGCTTGGATTAGAGGAGCAAAAGGGACTTGGAGGGCCACTGGGAAATCAGAAGGACTGGGACACCAGTTCTGGAATCTAAACAAGCTCCAGTCACTGCTCCAGAAAGGTCCCAGACGTGGAGCTAACAGTTGTCAATGTGCTGGAAAGACTGAGTTAGAAATTATTGACCTGTAAGTGATAGGATCAATTCACAACACCACAAATCCTCCTAGAACAGGACCAGGCCACATTCTAACAGAAATTGCCAAATTTGATCAGATTTGAGGTTTCATTCAGGCTTCTCCAGACTAGAAAGCCCCACTCCCTTGGAAATGACACAGGTTCTTGTATTCCAAGTGTGAGCCTATTAGCACCACTACAAGACTTTTTATCTTCTTTCAAACCACACATTTCTGTCCTGTATGCACCAGTCCCACTTGCTGTCTCTGGCCTTACCTTTGCTTCCAGTCCTGATCCCTTCCAACTGCTGCTCTTTGTCATCCAGTCATAAACAACCCTTTTAACACGTATGCTCAGCTGCCAGCTTGCTTCTCTTCTAGGATGGCTGTGGTTACTGATTATTCAAAGTTACACTGTAATTGGCAAGTAACAACTGATTTCACAGCTGTTTCAGAACTACCAAGAAAATAAATTTGGAACTTCAGGGGCATAGATAAAACTATTCACAGTTGCTGTTAAATAGATTAAAAAATAGGTCAGTCATCTTTCACTTCTACTCTTTCCTCAGCCATGTAACATCACCTGTGAGGATTTTCCTTTTGTAAGTTACACAGCTCCCTTAATCAGCACTTCTTGCCTGTTTAATAAAAATCAAAGAATCTGGACTGGGAGCTTCTCATGTGTTCTCAGTTGAGGCTTCTAGTCCCAACTCCATCTTAAGCACTGTTAGCATGTTCCTCAGTGGGAAGATGTAGCTCTGCTGATTTCTGCGTGGTTTTTTTCCTTGGTTTTCTTTTTTTTTTTTTTCATTTTAATACATTTATGTAGAACTAAGCAGATAAGACTCTGTGTAGCGTGCCTCAACACATTACTTGAGTCACTCTGGCTTTGTCAAAGGACTGAATTGACACCCATCTTGGTTTACAGCTCTGCTTGTAGCTGCTGAGTCCTGCCATCGTTCCACAGCCTCTTAACTCAACAACCTGTCCTTTTTCCTGTCAACACAGCTTTTCTCTAAAGAATGCTATTGACCAAACAAATACCTTCAGAGGGGATGAGACTGCTATTGCATGTGTAACTTTTTTAAAAAGTCAGTCATCTCCTGAGTTGAAGAGAATTGGGGGAATTCTGTGTTATAAATACACATGTTATTAGTACATATATGGCTTGCTTGAAGACAAAGCCATCACTCAGGAGACTTCGGCATATAGAGAGAAATATAAGCAGGAGACGTTTAGTTGTGTCCTAGTGAATTATATACCAGATGCAGAGATTGGGGATTATGAGGATTATTTTTGAACAGTTGGGTGTTTAAGTCTTCCACCATTTCTAAATGCTCTAGGTGAAGCAGGGGCTGGAAGAAGAAAAGGCAGATTCTGGTGGCAAGAGAAATCTTTATATTGCTACTAGCCTACAGTTTCAGTTATTGCCTTTAATTATTCTTGAATTGTATCATATTAGGCATGGCTTATTCAGGTGTTTCTCAGGGGCGATGAGTGTTTTGTTTCAGCAAAGCGTAATTGTTACCAAAAGAGTGACTCCTAGCAAGTAACAATTCAGTACAGAAAGGTAGATTTCTCATTTAGAGAAAACTCTTTTTAAGATGTGTGGTCACTGAGAGAACAGACTTGGGTTGGTATAAACTAGTTATTAAATAGCTTTCTGATATTAGGCATGGTATAGGTCTGAATGTGATTAAGTTAGCAGGAATTCTGCCACTCTTTGGTGACAATGACATGGAGTCCTGAACTGAAAAATAGGAACATCTTAGCAAGAGAGTAGCTATTCTGAATAATTGAAGTAAAATATTAGAAAATTTCAGGGTAAATCAAAAGAGCAGACCTCAGCATGAGTACTTAAAAAGAACTACAGTGGTTGAGATCCAATTATTAGGCAAAGACTGAGAAGCTTAAAAAATCCCTCATGTTGCAGTTTACCATTATCGGTCTTTATTTCGTGGTGATGGCGTGATTAACATCTGACTATGAAGGCAGCTCCACTCCCTTCTAACACTGCTTTAGCTGTTGGTAATACTACCAGCTCTAGCAGAATCTCTAAACCTACTTTTCAGCCTATTAGTACAGGAATAATTTGTTTCTCAACTGTTACTTTGAAACATATTGATTTTTCAGCCTACACGTTTTTACTTGTTTGTGATCTTATCTTACTCAAATTTCAGAACCACACAATTCACTGCTAAGATAAAGAATGCAAAATTATTCACACAGTTTGGCTTCAGACAAACAAATGCAACTCGACACAAACAAAGAGAGTTGTATCCAAGCGTTATTTGCCTGTGTTCTTAATATTTCAATACTTTGTGGAAAAAGCAAGTTGGGTAACAAGCTGTTTTGACTTCACTTCCAGTACACTTTCAGGTTTCTCTAGTCTCCAAAGCCAAGAATCCAGTCTAAAGATGCCACAAAGCTTCAGCATGCTTTAGGCAAGGCAGTGCTGTGCTTTTTTTTCAATCTTTGTTGCCGTGCTTTGGAATAAAATAAAAGTTTTGCTGTAGGTAAAAAGAAAAGCAGTCTAAGATGTTACCTAAATCTTCCATACTTATTCCATATATGATTTATGCTTAGAGAAAAGAACCTTGAGTTGGAGCTGGTTAGATTTGCTTTTTCTGCTGAAACAAGCTCTGAGCTTGAAGCATTTCACTGGAAGCACTCTGCTTTGACGAACTTTCAGCAATCAGAGCTGAGGCCAATCTCCCCAGAATGGGGCACCATGCCAGCCAGGTCTCCAGTCTCCAACCTGCTGGCAAATGGTCTGTGCATAGAGCATCCAAATCATCCATTTGATACCAGCTGACACAACTTCCTCAAAGAATAATTGTGACTTTTCCAGGAAAAGCTCAAGCCTTACAAGTGTCAATGTTGGCATGAGACTGTTTCTCTTGCTATCACGTAGGAAACAGGGTCAGCTTTGTAGAGAGCAACTGCTTGACTGCTCTGGGTTATTAAACTGGCAGCTTGAAAGTCAACTTTCTGCAGTCCCAGAAACCTTCTGAGAGTTTGCAAGCCTGAACTGCGGCCCTGTGAAGGACTGCACTTTCTAGCAAAGTAGAATCTGTTTTGATTCATTTTGTAGCAACTTGTTTGTCCCCATTGGTACCATGGAGGACAGGACCTGACTTTTTGAAAAACCTTTGTTTGTCCCCAGCAGGACTTGACACTCCTTGCCCATGTTACGCAAGACTGGCCTACCCTACATGTGACAGAATTGTCAGGCAAGATTTACTACCACCTTTATTTACAGACAGGGCTACTCTTTCAATCTCGACCGAATGGAAAGTGTTTGCCAATTTGTGTTTTATTTTAATTTCCTCTGCACAGATCTGGAGAGTGCCTGCCTATAAATACTTGCTTATAGGGTACTTGGGAAACCACTGCTTTCTCCAGGGATTAGATCCTATTTTCAAGTCATATCTTGCCATGGAAACAGAGAGGTAATAAAGGATCTGAATTTAATTTTTCTGTATCAACATTTCATTCATTCATTCATTCATTCAGCCAGGTGGAAAAGCCTCATTACAAAATAAGAGCTGCAATCCAAAACTATGGTTTCAGTGAAAGTAGGATCCCAAAGCTAAAAGGCTCATAGTTTAATAGAGGTAAGCAATCTTTTCCAAATCAAAATAAGTAGTGTGGTGGTACCTAACAAATACGATACACAAATTTTCAAGACTTATTATAAAAGTTTTCCAGTCAGTTCTGAATGTGTTTCAGACTGGGCTATGAATCAAAAAAAAAAATGTATATTAAAACAGAGACTAGAATGTGTGACTGAATTCTGATTCAGTCTTTGCAACTGAATTCCAGACATCATAGAAAGACTTTCAAGATGTTATTTGAAGTAATAGAATACGTATTTTAAATATGTATTAAAGTTAGGTTAATCTTGATCGCATTTTGCACAAAAACATTTGGAAATGCATGCTAAGGCAATTTTTTATTACATCTTAATCTTTTAAAGTATTCAAAAAAGCTATTGGAAATTAAAGGCTGTGATCCCGCAAATATCACCATTAACTTTAATAAAACTACCAGCATGCTATTAGGGGCTGCTAAATACCAAGAATTTGTAAATGTAAATTTTCATAAAAGTCTTTGCTGAATCAGTACAAAACTATGTCAGCATTAACAATGAAATAATTCCAATTTTTCAGGATGCTATGGAAATTTTCATGAATTTCTGAATATACAGATCAATCAAAACAACCAGCCAAAAAAATGAGGGTTTTGGGAAAGACCAGACCTCTCTTTGACAATATACCACACTGAAATGCCTAGAACTCCTGAAATGGACATGAAAGATTTGCTGTGAACAGCTCTCTGTGCTCTTGATCAGAACAAGAGACAAAGAGTATTTCCAAAAAAATCACCATGTGTTTCACAGCCCCTAGTGAAGACCGAAGAAAGACTTTAGAAATCTGAGTTTGTCCAGGCAGA